AGTAGTAGCATCTGGTTCTGAGTTCAGAGCAACTGAGGATGTTGCCTGAAGTGGCTAGGATGCAGCTAGGACTTCCAGCACTAACAGGTGGTCACGCTGGGTTTAATCTGGTACCTGTGCTACCCATTTTTACATGCTTAGTTCTGTGCAGTGCGTTCCACGGTCTTGGGTGGCTAAGCAACAAAATGGAATTGTGTGGATTTGGTCTGATGTACTATCTGCTGACACTGGTAGTCATTGTAACGTGCCATGAGAGTTCTAAAACGTCTCCAGTCTCCCCCAGACCAAGGTGAAAATGAGCACCATTGGTAACCAAATACAGTGTAAGAACTGACCTGCCTTTTATTTTACCAGCAGTCCTGATTTTGGACTTTGGCTCAGAGTCCCGTGGTTAGCTGAGCTTAAATCAAGAGGGTTTGTTGGCTCTTGTGGCTCATCGTTCTTGCCTTATTCTTTGTGTGCCTTATCCATGCTTCCAAAGACCCTCAAACAACTGCTTTGAAGGCATTAAGGACATGAGCAATACTCTGGAAAGTAACTTCATTGCTATGTTAAAATGTTTAGTGTTTTGCTCAGCTTTTCAGCTGTGACTTTTGCTTCCTCTAGTAGAAGGTTATCTGAGTCCACTATCTTGCTTCTGCCAGTAACTTGAGGGTTGCTGTGCCGTGGGACTGCTGTGTTGTTCTGCACATCCTCTCTTTAACCTTGATGTTCCTTTAAAGCTATTTCGCTCTCCAGGCTGTTGGCTGGTTTCTGAGAATCCTGACCAGATGCAGGTGTTGGTCTGATATAAGAAGGGATTTGGCACCTACAGTGCAATGTGTTGAACATGTGCTGTCTGCTGTAACGATAGAGGCTGAACCAACCGTGTAGAGCTCAGTAAGCTGCTACTTCCACAGCACAGTGAGGCTTTGCTGTCAGACTTCTTTCATAGCACTGGCCAGTTAACGTGTGTGTATCTACTCTGGTGCTGCAAACTCCTAAGCAGGAAGCTGTCTGTGCTGTGGAAGCTCCTCACTGGTCTACCTAATGCCTTTTACAGTGCCGTGAGGCTGCTACAAAAAGTCCTTCTCGGTGACCTGTTTCACAAGTGTTTTCATGCTTCTGCAGAACATTAAGATGTAAGCTGGATGTCTGGCTGGCTGTTAGGGAGTGACTTAAAACGGCTTGCCGGGAGGAAGAGAACCTTGATTCACTCTCTATGTGAAAATGTGGTGACCATATTTCTCTTTGCAGTTTGATGAAGGCCGTAACAACTTTGAAGGAGATCTCACAAAAGATAACTTACTGAACTTCATCAAGTCTAATCAGTTGCCTCTGGTTATAGAGTTCACTGAACAGGTGGGTGCTCAGATATTTGAGGCCTTTCCATAGCTACTGTATGAATGCAACAAAGTTTAAAATGTAGATTCAGCTCTTAGCTCGGAGCTGGCACTAGTTTGATATTATGGAGTGGTCAAAAATTACTTATGCTAGAGCTGAATCAAGTGAAGGAAGAACACAAGGGAAAGGAGGTATAAGCTTGCTGTTTAAAGCAGTCCTGCAGTATTCTGACTTCTGTGGTCTAATGAGAATAGCAGAGCCAAGCTTTATTTTTGGTTTTATTTTCTACTCCTCAGACTGCTCCTAAAATCTTTGGAGGAGAGATCAAGACTCATATTCTGCTGTTCTTACCAAAAAGTGTGTCTGACTATCAAGGGAAACTGGATAATTTCAAGAGCGCAGCTGGAAGCTTCAAAGGGAAGGTAAGATGGATGGCTGGGACTATGAATTATGTGACCACCTCCTACAGAGCTGTAACACTCTGCCTATACCCACTTAACAGCTGTGGAGGAAGACTTGAAGCTAGCACTTCCTCTGCCTCTCTCTTGGTAGTAGGTGTCTGAGTCACTGGTTTGTATAACTGATTAAGGAATAGTAGTTAACTTATGACTTTCCTTCTAGATTTGACTTAAACATTGATGCCAGGCTTGCACATGTGCTGCTTAAAGCACTGCAGCTTTAGCATGCGTGCTGTGACAGGGTGCCCTCCTAACAGGCTTGGCTGTTTAGCTCTTGTCTAGCTCTACAAGTGTCTGTATAAAGTATCTTTAGCCAAGAGATACCTGTCCTCATCATGTTATCTCTTTCCTCCGAAGATCCTGTTCATCTTCATAGACAGTGACCACAGTGACAATCAAAGGATTTTGGAGTTCTTTGGCCTAAAGAAAGAAGAATGTCCAGCTGTACGTCTGATCACCCTGGAGGAAGAAATGACCAAATACAAACCCGAATCAGATGACCTCACAGCAGACAAGATCAGAGAGTTCTGTAATAAATTCCTGGAGGGCAAGATCAAGGTAACAATGCTGCTAATGCTAAACCTACTGGCTGAGCAAGTGCTAAAAATGCTCTCTGTGAAGAGCTGGATGAAATGTGCAAATCACCCAACTGACGTACAGGATATCTAGCAGCCTTTGTGCTGAAAATAGTGTAAAACCATTGGGGCATGGAGACTGTAGGAAAGCAAGTTACATGCTGGTACCTGAGTACAATTGAGGTCTGCTCTTCCTGCTTCTTGGAGATGTGCTGTTCTTTCTGCTAATGAGCCATGGAAGGTACTAACTTGCATGGCACAGTTAAAAGAGCTCTTGGCTCTAATTTGGTGGAGGTGGCTACATGTGTCTGACTCCAGCAGTGACTGTGTAGCTAAGCTCTGTCCTTAGAGAATAACATTGTGGGAAGGAAACAGTATTGCTGCTAGAGCTGAAACTGCATTTCTTCCCACACAACAGCACCCATTTTCACACTTCGGGGTGGGGAGTAGACTTTATATTAGCAGAAGAGGAAGTGACTGATGTATCCGATTTGCTTATAGTCTATGACTGGGGCACTTGGGTATGGTTAACTCAGGCTTTCCAGCCTATGTCACTGATGGACATTCCAAGTAGCTGTACAGCAGATTGCATGTGTCTGAATTTCACTTTCTATTCCAGCCCCATCTGATGAGCCAAGATCTTCCTGAAGACTGGGACAAACAGCCTGTCAAAGTTCTAGTTGGGAAGAATTTTGAAGAAGTTGCTTTTGATGAGAATAAGAACGTTTTTGTGGAGTTCTGTACGTATTTTTCAACAACAAATTCCACGTAACTGGTATAAAAGGAATGCCAAAATACTTCATGACCAGGACTGGGGAGAAAGCATCTTACAGAGTCTAAGCCACAAAGGGAGCGCATCAGTTAAAAACAAATGTGAACTCTTGTCTGGCGTGGGGTCTAGGTGGTGTGTGGTGTTAAATTGTTGGGCTGTTGGTGCTAAATATGTTTGTTAATTAACAGATGCCCCCTGGTGTGGTCACTGTAAGCAGCTGGCTCCTATCTGGGACAAGCTGGGAGAGACCTACAGGGACCATGAGAACATTGTCATTGCCAAGATGGATTCAACAGCCAATGAAGTAGAAGCAGTGAAAATCCACAGCTTTCCCACACTCAAGTTCTTCCCTGCAGGCTCTGGCAGAAATGTAAGAAGGCAGCTGACACTCTTACAGATCAAATAATGAGGGAGCACTAGATATGCTGAAGTTGCCTATTTGAGTTCCTTTTTGGACAGGCTTGTGGGAGGGCTTTCCCTTCTGTAAGGATAGAACACATCAGGTCTACAGGACATCTGAGACCCTTTTGGGAGGGGGGCTGGGTTCTAGGAAACAGTTTGGGGATGGGAAGTGGGAGTGGGGAAAAGAAGAAGTATAGCAGAAGACAGTGTGCTCATCTGCAGGCTATTCTCTCCTCGCAGTGATCTCTGAAGTCTAGTGGCTGAGCTGTTTTCCTTCGTCTCATATGGGTGAAGGTGAATTTTTAAATTCCCTTTTGCTTGGCATGTTAACTGTTGCTCAGAAAGATAATTTTCCTTTCCAGGTGTGTGGTTCTGTAGGTGCACGTAACAGTTATCTTGATGTGTTTTCCTGTGTAGGTAATTGACTATAATGGGGAGAGGACGCTAGAAGGATTCAAAAAATTCTTGGAGAGTGGAGGACAGGATGGGGCAGCAGCTGATGATGTGAGTAATATAAATTAATACAGTACTCTAGCTCTGCAGAATGCAGGGTATGGGTTGCTTTGGGTGGAGTGATCAAATCCTAAGCCCTGAAGATCCTGGGTTATGTGGCAGGAAAAGAGTATTGGTGAGCAAAAGTGTCCACATCATAAAATGTGACCCGTCAATTCACTTGTAGCCTGGCTAGCCTCTGGCCTGTTGTAGTGGACTCCTTTTATTAAGAATACTTGAGGTGGGTGTGAAATAAATGCCTCTTGAGAGGCTAAAATACCAAGAGCATGGAAACTATTGGTACAATAACCTCTAAACTTAAACAGGCTTCCTCTGGTCATTGTGCAAACTGCTGGTGTATGTAGGGCTTGTTCTTTAAGAGCTCTTGCTCGTTGCCTTGAACTTAAGTGCTATGATGAACATCACTTACGCGGTATATTTAGTCAGAAGCTCCTCACCTGCCTGGGTGGGAGGGTGTTACAGGTTATGGTACTGCTTTTCAGAGGGTTCTAACATGTAACTTCCCAAACTGACTACTCCTGGTAGTCTCTGGATGTCTTGTTGACATGGCAGCAGCAAATATGTTAGAGAAACTGTTATTTGGTTTTGGATCTGACTAATATGCCAGAAACAAGTAGTTATCTTTGTCTACGACACAGGATCTGGAGGATCTGGAGACAGATGAAGAAACAGACCTTGAGGAAGGTGATGATGAGCAGAAAATGCAAAAGGATGAGTTGTAAAGAAGACTGATCTACATCACCCAAAAATCAGACACTAAATTGGCTGCTGTTACGCAGCCCAGTGAGTCAGAAACCCATAAAGATTTAAAACAGAAGGTGAATGACTGGAAATCCAGGGATTGGCTTTTAAAGTAACACTTCACCCTCACTTCTCTTTACACTTGACTATCTTTTTCTTTCACTTTCGAAAAGGGATCTGTCACTAGGTAGCCAGCCCTGCCAGCTGGGTTCATTCTTTTTTTATTGTGATGTACTTTTTTTGTACACAGCTTTTTGTTTCAAGTATTCTGTTCTTCTGGATAGAAGCAGGTTGTGAAGTGGTAGCATGAGTTTAATAGCCCAACATTTTGGAGCCTTGCCACTAATACCTTCCAAGAAAGCTTTTTCCTTTTATCTTTGAAAACTAAAGCCTGTAGCTGATTTTTACCACCTGGCAGGTTCCTTATTGGTCTCAGCTGTTCTTCCCTGGAGCCTTCATCTGTAAGGGAAGAAGGATTAGGCTGACTGCATCAGTCCTGGTGGAAGGTGGTTATGAAGGTGCTTCTCTTCATGTAGGCCAGCTTTTCCCTGTACTTTAAGACATTTAGAGATGACTGTTTGAAACACCTGGAAGGGTGGAATACTATGTGCACTGGCTGTGGCAGGCTCTGAGGGTGGAGGTGATTGCTGGCTTACCAGCTTAGATGAGACCTTGCTGTGTTGCCATCCTTTTGATCAAATGCGAGACTATTTTGCAGTCACTTTACATGCATTATTTTGAATGGGTTGACCAGGCAGGTGGGGGGTGGGAGGGCCTGATTAAAAACACATCAAATGCAAAACAAACATGGGACTTCAAATTACTGGGTTTGGGGGAGGAACTTGAACAAGGGAGTGCCTCAAAGGCCTGATCAGTGTCAGGCTTGCTCTTAGCATTCCGCTATAATAACATTGGAACTGCATTTGTCGGCCAAATAAAGTTGAGATTTTAATACTACTCTGTCTTTGTCTATTGGGACCCGGAATAAATATTTGGACCTGAGCTGGAAGAAGATCAGAGTTCCAGGATGGTTCTCAACTGATTCTGCCAAAGTGGTGTTAGAAAAGACCATCACCTTTTCAAGCTCTTACTAGATACTATATTTTTGGGAGAAACTAGTTTCTGAGCACATCCAATTCTGCAGGTGGCTGTTGATGCCTTACGCAGCATGAAGCAACTTCCATTAACTAATCTATACATGGGAAATTTAAGATGACCACATCAGGCTCAGATTAAAAGAGCTGTTGGAGGTACACAATTACCAGCTCTGAGCAGTAAGCATGCATTGGCGGGGCTGCTGAGTGTAAGCTGCTCTGCCTGCCAGCTGGCTTGGGGTGGTGGGACCTCACTGCTCCTGAGCAGTTAACCGAGGAATTTGCCTACAGGGGAACCTGGGACTGCCCCTAGTGCCGCTAGTCAGGCTCACATGATCCAGTGAGCTACACTGCTATTTCCACACCAGTCACTTACTGCTGAAAATATTTTTGTAAGGAAATATGCTATAAATGTCACATGGGGAGGCCTAGTGAATCTGGAGGGCACCTCAGGAGGCTACCGGTGCCAGTCACCTAATGTGGGCGCACTGGAATGGTAGAACACAAGTGTGGCACAACACTGGGCTCTGACTGGGCAGTTACCTGGGAGCAAGGACCCTTCTTGGTCCTGTTCTGGTGTGCAGCAGTGCTGGGGCTGCTGATAAACGCTGTGACACCTGAAGAGGGCAGGGGCTCTCTGGCCTCCAAGGGCTGGCTGTTAGCAGCAGCTTTGAATAAGAAAACTGCTTTGCATTTTGAGGGAGGAGAGAAAGAGAAGTGAGTAAGACTTTCCATGGGAGTGCTCCTGCCTAGAAATCAGCTCAAAAAAGTCCATTTTGTGGAGTGACTAAAAATGTAAACAAGACTGCCGCTCTGTGGCGGTTCTCTTTTGTTTATAGTCTGAGACCTGCTCAGAGGAGGGGAGCTTTTCTCATGCACCACGGCTGCTCTTGGAGCAGGGCTCCATGGGAGGCATCTTGTGTACACAACTCGTCGCTGCTGCGAGACAGCAGGGCTGCAAGTGGTCTGACTTGGCAGCAGCCAGTTCAGCCTCCTGTCGTGTGGTGCCTGAAGCAGGGCTGAGCAGACACAGCGAGAAGATCGCTGTATTTGCCAGAAGACGGAGAGCTGCAGCAGGCAGTTCCCAGGTGTGAGATGGGCCGACCTGGTGGGGGCTTGGCACGGGGTGAAGCTGCAGCAGCGCAGTTGAATGCTCTGACAGCGTGGGACAGGGATTGCTCCTGACGTGCTGCTGGGCAGGCCCCGTCAGTGAGAAACAAGGCACCGTGCTCGTGTGTCTGAAATGCCAGTGCGAAGTCTGAAGCAGGACTGCGGCGCTGGGCACTGAGGGCAGGCACCGTACTCTGGTTCTGTGTCTGCATCAGGAGCAGCAGCAGCAGCCCCGGCCTCACGAGGTCACCGGCGGTACCGCGGTGCTGCAGCGTGCTCCGTGCCTCGCTGCACTCGTCCTGTGGTCGTGTGGGGAAGCACAGCTCATGCTGCTCCCTTCCAGTCAGCTGGCGCACCGACAGGAAAGTGACGTGGCTCCGAATGCATTCGGCACCGCGGCGATGACATGTCTGTTAGGCTCGCTACTCAGTACGTGTGCGGCCAGCTCCCCTCGCCTGCTGAGCAGATTTTTGTCTTCTCCCTGGCGTGCTCATGGTGCTGTGAGGACATACTGTGGGGCAGTTCTGTTTTCGGGGCCCTGGGCTGCTCTGAAGGCTAGCCATGCAATGGATTTGACCCCTTGGATGGGCACATCAACAGGTGGGCAGTAAGATGAGCCGTCATCCTCTGCCCAAAAGTGGGAGGCTACGGGCCTGGGCGGCTCGATTACAAAGTATCACGGCAAATAGCATGAGCTGCACCAACCCAAAATAGCCCGCGGGAGCCTATATAACGCCATGCGCCGGGGGAGCCCTCAGTCCTGGGCCCAGAGCCTGAGGGAGCTGCACGAGGCCAGCACCACCCCTGCACGCTGCGAGGGGCCCTGCGGCGAGGGACAAGCACCTGAGACAGGCCCCAGGAGGGGACAGGCTCCAGCAGGGACAGGCCCCAGGAGGGCCGGCGGCAGCGCCCGGCTCAGCGCCCACCACCCAACTGGTGAAACGGGACCACGAGGCAGAAGAGGAGAGCAGTGCTTCGAGGCCAGCGAGTGCTGAGCACTGACCCACCGGGCTGTCCTACAGCCCCCCACATGCCTCTGCCCCCTTCTTCCTCGGCAGCGGCCTAAGGCTGCGCTCAGCATGAAGGACTATTTCCCCGTCTCGATGCCCCGGTACAGTCGGTATAGACAGAGACTGAGAGCATCGCGCACCGTGCGCTTCCCCAACGACGTCGTCTTTCAGGACCACATCAGGCAGGGGGACCTGGAGCAGGTGGGCAGGTTCATCCGTGCCAGGAAGGTCGCTCTGGACACCATCTACCCTTCTGGTGAGTGCTGCTGGGGCTGGCAGTGGCACGGCTCAGTGGACTGCAAGGGAGACGAGAGAGCAGCGTGGCCAAAGCTCAGACATGGGCCGCCCTGGGCAGGGCAGCAGGTTGAAATCAAGTTGTTTTCCCTCCCCAGTGAGGAGCACTACCCCCTACCATTGCCAGCAGGGCCCAAGTCCGGCTTCACTGCCCCAACGCCCCCCTTAACAGCACTGCAGGAAAGGGGGAGATTTGCCATCAGGGTCCCTTCAAGGCACGACAGTGCACCTACACCTACCCGGTGTGGTGTGGCGTAGGAAAGGAGCAGGCAAAAAGAGAACAAGGGAGAGAACGCAGAGCTCTGGACCGGGCAGCAGGACTCGTGTCTCCTGTCCTGATTTGGTGAAAGGAGCGCGGAGAAGCACGGTTCTGCTTCTTGCTCCTGGCTCTGTCCGTTGCTCACAAACATCGTTCTCTCTCACGCGTGGGTCTGTGGACTTGCAGAATTAATTGTTTAGGAAGGCGGCATTGTGTTATGTTTGTACCCAGCCTCACTAAAAATTGTTTACGGAATGCCTTGAACCACACAGGCTGGTTCAGAGCCCAGATTTGTCTCTTTCTCGTACTTGGCTTCAGCGTCTGCTGTCACATGGCCATGGGGGCACGGTCTCAGATGACCCGGGCTTCCTCCCATGTACGCTGATTGCTTCATCGCTTGCGCTGCAAGGGACTGCTGAAAGGCCAGCAGAGCGAGACCCTCGAGACACCCTCCTGCTGTGCCCATGGGGGTCCTGGAAGGGCCTCAGGTCGGGCTGTTGGCGGGGGGCTCACCTCAGGCACCGCGCTGCAGTCCCTCGGCCTGTGCTGCCTGACCCGGCAGGGGAGCCAGGCGCTGCACCTTGAGCACGGCGTTTGGGCTGTGAAAGGGCAACAGGAACCTGCAGCGGCTCCTCTCGCTTCCTCGGTGTTTGTTTCTTTCCCAACTCACCTCCCCGCTAACGCCGCTCCCCCGGCACCCCCCTCCCTGGGCCGCCGCCAACCGCGGTGCTGAGCGTCCCCCCTTGCAGGCATGGCAGCGCTCCACGAGGCCGTGCTCACCGGGAACCTGGACTGCGTCAAGCTGCTGGTCAAGTACGGCGCCGACATCCACCAGCGGGACGAGAACGGCTGGACGCCCCTGCACATGGCCTGCAGCGACGGCTACGCCGACATCGCCCGGTGAGAGCCGGGGGCAGCCCCGGGCCCTGCCCGCAGAGCCCCGCGGGGGGCGGGCGGCGGGGGGGGGGGGGCGCGGCCCTTGTCTGACGCTGTCCCCGCAGGTACCTCATGGCCCTGGGGGCCAGCCCCGAGGCCACCACGGACGCCGGGGAGAAGCCGTCGGACCTCATCGACCCCGAGTACCGCGAGCTGCTGCAGCTCTTCCAGGCCGCCACCGTGGGCTGAGGCGGCTCGCGGCCGGGCAGCGGGGCTGGGGCGGGGCGGGGCGGGGCCCGGGCTGGGACCGGGCCGGGGCTGGGGGCCGGGGGCCGGGGGCCGCTCGGTGCCGCCGCCCGGCCCCCCCCTTCCAATAAAGCGCTCTGCAAACAACGCCTCGCGCCACGGCTGGGGCGGGGCCGGGGGGGCGGGGACAAGGGCAGGGGCGGGGCCACGGGAGGGGAGGGGCGGGGCTCAGGGCAGGGACGGCGCCCGTTGAGAGGGAGGGGGCGGGGCTACGGGACGGGGCGGGGCTGGTGGCAACGGGAGGGGCGGGGCTAAGGCCAAGGGCGGGGCCGGCGCAGGGGCGGGGCCGGGCCGAGCGCGCGCCGTGCCGGGGGCGGGGCCGGGTGACGCGCTGTTGTGGGCGGGGCCGGGCCGGCGGCGGGGCGGGGCCGCGCCTGCGCGCTGCGGCGCTTCCGTGGCGGCCCGAGGGCGAGCGGAGGCGGGAGCCGGGCCCAGGTGAGGGGCGCGCGTTGCCATGGCGACGGGCGGCGGGCGGCCCGCGGCCTAGCCCCGGCCTGGCCTGGCCGCCCTCTCCTTTCTCCCCGCAGCCGCGCCGAGCCGAGCCGCGCCGCCGCACGGACGACGCCATGGCCAGGTGAGCTCCGCCCCGGCCCGGCCCCGGGCCCCTCGGGCCCCGCCGCGGCCCGGCCCGGCCCGGCTGAGCCCCGCGCTTGGCTTGCAGCTCCCCCGTGTCCCGCGTGGTGTACAACGGCAAGCGGAGCGGCGGGCCGCGCTCCCCCGGCGCCGGCGGCGAGCTCTTCACGCCGGCCCACGAGGAGAACGTGCGCTTCATCTACGAGGGTGAGCGGCGGGGCGGCGGCGCGGGGCCCTCCCGGCGGCCGGTGCCCCCGGCGAGCCGCCCGTCTCGTGTCCCCGCAGCCTGGCAGTGCGTGGAGCGCGACCTGCGCAGCCAGATGGGCGCCGAGCGCGGCCTGGTCGAGGAGTACGTGGAGAAGATGCCGAACCCCAGCCTGAAAGGTGAGCGCCGCGGCGCCCCCCGCTGGCTGCGGCCGGAGGCGGCGGCGGGGCCCGGCCGGGCCGGGGCGGGGGGGGGCGGCGGCGGCGCGGCCTGTGCCGCCCGAGTGTCTCCCTCCCCTCTCGCCCCGGCAGCGTTCAAGCCCGTGGACCTGAGCGATCTGAAGCGGAGGAACGCACAGGACGCGAAGAAGTCCTAAGGCGGGCCCTCGGCGCGGATTGGCTGTCTCCCAAGGTCCTCAAGCAGATTTAATTTGAGATTTTTGTGTTGATTTCCTCCTCTGGTTACTGTACTCTGCCTGTGGAGAGCCGGCCGGCTTCGGGGCTGGCTTCGATGCTACCTGAATTCCAAGATGCTTAGGGGCTTGCCGAAGGCATCCGGAGCCCCTTGTAAAAGATACCAGCCCCTAACCTGCAGCTTTCTCTGGCCTCCAGCTGTCCTCCTCCACCTCACGCTGGGCTCACAGGTCACTTATTCTCCTTCCATCTCTGTCCCTGGCGCGCTGCGTACTCAGGCTCGCTGGGGTCTGGCGTATGGCAGGGCAGAGCCGAGTAGCTGTGTTGTCAGTAGCGGCAGCGCCAGTTCTCTGCTCCCTTCTGCGAACCAAAGGCTCACAGCTGCTGGAGCAGGCCAAGGGGAGAATGAAGGAGACTTGGTGCTGACCTTGTGCCTCGAGACAGGTGGCCCCAGTTCAACACCAGGTAGTTCAGCACCTTCTGGCAGCTGGCTGCTGCTGCTTTGGCACACTTTGCCTGTTCCTGGCTCCCTGGTGGGAGGGCTTAATTTGTACCCGGGCTGCTAATGCCTGGGACTCATCAGTGCTGCCAAAGCTCTTGGGTCCATATCCGATGCCGGATTTTCCTTGTGCTTAGATTGGGCCAGGTCCCTGCGGTGCTGACGATGAAGCTGCTCCTCTCTCCCTGCAGGTGGAGGGAGAGGAGGGCACCAGCACTGGCCCCAGCCCCAAGCATCCTGGAGGTGCTCGGAGGGGGAGCGCTGGGCTGCTCTCAGCTCCCCCCAGCCTCAGTGCGCTGGCAGCAATGCAGAAGGTGGCGGAAGGGGGCTGGGGGGGCTGGCGCTGACTTTGTGGAAAGAAGCTTATTTCCATCCTTGCCTGAGCGATGCCTCACTGTTCTAGCACTAACACAGCTTTCCAGACACGCACCCTTTGAAGAGACCTGGCCTCCACAGCTGGCAGAAGCGCTGCAGTGTGGCAGCTGTGGTGAGCAGGTCTGACTCGCTGTGGGCATTGGCTTCCCTGGCAAGGCTCAGGTTCCTTCTGCCTAACCACCTCTGCGCAAGGGAGAGTGACTGCACCCTCAGCCGTGCGGGCAGAGAGCTGCGTGGCCGCGGGGCTGCTCGCTGTCCCTGGGACACGCGGGGAGCTGTGGGAGCCGCCTGCTGCCTGCCTGAGCTCAGAGAGCTGGTGGGAGGGGGCTGCTGGGGCTCTGCCCAGCACGAGTGGGCTTCGTGGCGGATGCAGGGTGCAGGGGAGTTGTGGTTGCTGTTAACTTTCCTTTGTTGTCATTGAGCTATACTGTTCCCTTTTTTTTTCTTTTTTTTTTCTTTTTTTTCTTTTTTTTCTGTTGTCTGTCACTTGAGGAGTGTTGTAAATAAAAGCTTGTGTCCTTTTGAGTCTGCCTCTGCGTGGCTCTGCCTGCTCCTCTCGTTGCACACCGCAGCATCCGTCAGCTCGGGGGCCGTGGCTGCCAGACACGCTGCTGCCTGCTGCCCTCCGGGGGCTTCTGTCGGGGCGGTGGCACCCGGCACGGCCCCTGCGTGCCCCTGGCAGTGCTGGTGCCTGGTGCTGGGGAGAGGCCTCGGCCACGTCGCTGCCGTGGGCGCTGGACCTGGTGCACGGGGCCGTGCCCTGCTGAGCCCTCGCTGCTCTGCCCGCCTGTGCCTGCAGCCTGTCTGGTGTAGCGCCCTTGTTCTTCCCTTTTTTAGAGTTCAGAACTTTTCCTGTTTTGTCGCTCAAACCCTGCGCTTCCCATTTTAGACTTGAGTGCTGACAATAAGCGGCAGGGTTTTCCATGCCCCTTCAGACAAGTCCTGAGGACAAGTAAGGTGGAGAACAGAATCCACCTCTTTTATTTATTTATTTTCCAGAAGGGGTCTTGCTCCCGCACTTGCTTGGGGCTCTTAATTTCACTGCGAGCTGGTAGCACAATGCCCTTGGGCTCTGGCAGCCCTCCTGTGAGCCAGCATCCTAGAAGCTGCTGCTAGACCAAAGATTTAAATGTTGAGACTATTAATACACTCGTATCCTTTTCCCTCCCCTGCTTTAATGGCATTTAAACTATACTTAGCATTGCTAGAATTTCTCCTCAAGTGCACCTCCGTGCTGCGGAGTGACCCTGTTTACCTCCCATCTCCAAAACATCGCCGAGGAGGGCGCGTGCCAGCTGTGTTGGCCGCGTGGTGCCCGGGGCCCTGCTCCACCCCAGGCCCTGCAGGAGGTGCCCTCTGCCGGGAGCGGCAGCGAAGGATTTAGGGTCACTGCCCTCACGGCCCGTCTCCCTTGGCCTTTCCTGCCGGGTGGGCCTTTCCCTGGAGCTTCTCAGGGCTGTTTGTGAGCAGCAGCACTTCCAGCGCTTCTCAGGGGCTTGTGCGATGTGCTGGAGGCTTCAGCCCCATGTCCCAGGAGCACGGCAGCCGAGCGGGCTTGCCCTGGCTCTGGGGGCCCCAAACATGCACAGAGCTGCCTTCTCCTGCACTGTGTGCGTTGTCCTGCATTGTCCTGCCTCGAGTGCCTGCAGGGGAGGCGAGGGGCTCTGCTGGTGGTCTGCTGGGTGCTGCAGCTGATGGGTGTGCGCTGGGCAGAGGGGGGGAGGCAGGGAGCGCCTGTGCTGGCTCTGGGCTTTGCTGCTCGGCTGACCCCTGCCAGCAGCACGAGGCTGGGCTGTGGCTGTGCCCCCGTTCCACCGTCATGGAGCTGAGAGAGCCCGAGGCAAGGCACAGGGGTCTGCGGGGAGTGTGTGTGCAGGCGGGTGGGTCGGCCCCATGCCTGCACGTGGGCCCCTGCTGCCAGCGGCGTGTGGAGACCCCGGGCAGCAGCGAGCAGAGACCCCGGGCAGCACCGTGCTGCCATCATCCCCACGGCCATGGGGAGCTGCTGCCCGCTGCTGTGCGGGGCTCTGGCAGCCCAGCCCGACGGCCTCTGCCTTGTTTTTCTCTTGGCTCGGGCGCTGTGGAGCTGGAGGCGAGGCGGTCACTCAGGCAGGCTCTAATGAAATGTCATACAAAAATGATTTTATAAACAGGCGATTTTTATAAAGACTAATAACAAACCACGGGGTGACCGCGGTGAAACAGCAGAAAGGAAGTGTGAAGTTCAGGCTCGGGGGGAGCCCCTGCGAAGGGGGGAGGCCGGAGGCAGTGAGACCGGGCTGTTTACCTATAAAAACCGGACCTGGCCACGGTTTATTTTCGCCGTGACTCGGATGCGGTTTTTATCATTAGATTAAGTTGTGGGAGGAGGAGAGGTATGTGTTGTATCATTGAATTAAGTAGTGGGAAGAGAGAATGGTAACGGGCAGAATCTACTTAGAAGACCAATTTGTGGTCTCCAATTACCTTGATGAAGCAGGAGGATTGCTGCGGGCGGGCGGCGGCCAAGCGCCACGGCCTCACGGGCACCGGGGGGCTGCCCGCCGTGACCCGGGGAGGGGGGCACCCCGCGGGTACCGCTCCCAGGTTGCAGTTTCTCCCCTGTCTTCTGTCTCTGCTGCTCGCTCCTCTCCGTAGCAGCGGCGCTCAGCCCCGCTCAAACAGCCGGCTCTCCCCGGGGTGCCGGGGCCGTGTCTGGGGGCTCGCCCAGCGCTGGTGCCGCGGTGGCGGCTGCCGGGGCGCCCGTGGGTGGGCGAGCGGCGCGGGGCCAGCACGGAACGTCCCCGTCCAGTGCTGCCATGGGAACCCGCAGGCGCCAGCGGCCGCATCGCTGCGCTGCTCTGCCCACAAATGTCAGCCCCGTCGGGCTGGGGGCTGTGTGTACTGGGTGGGGGCTGCGGGTACCGGACCCGGCAGAGTGGTGGGCGAGTGGGTGCGTGTGGGTGAGCGTGGCTGTGAGTGCGTGTGCAGCATGGATGTGTTCAGGTGTGTGTCTGTGTGTGTGTGTCTGTGTGTGTGTGTGTGTGTCTCTGTACTCTGTGTACCTGTGCCTCTGTGTGTGTGTGAGCGCTATGGGGGGTGCGTGTGTGGGGTCTGAGTGTCAGGACCCTGTGTGCACACAGGCAGCTCTGCTGGCCCCCGGCTCTGGGGACAGGGGGTGCTGCTGGGTGCCCGCATTGCCACAGGGCCCCCATGGGCTGGGGGTGCCTTGGGGTGCTGGGGGAGCCGCAGCCACCGCATGGTGCCAGTGGAATCCTGCCGGTGGGGGGGTGCCGGGGTCCCCAAGTCCCCAGTGCTGTGGGGCCAGCCTGGCCCCATCAGGGTGTCGTGGTGTTGTGAGGGGATGGCGGGGGGGACAGGGGGGAGTTGCCATGGCAATGCTGGAGCAACAGGCACTGAGCCCGGCGCCGCGTGATGACCATATTTACCTTCCCAGAAACCGCCTCGTGCTCCAGCAATTTGCTTCAATTAGGCTTGTTACCGCGTCAGGAGGCCACGGTGGCGGCCACAGCCAAGGGGGCGAGCAGCTCGTGTCTGCTTAGGGGCTGCCCTGGCTGGCGTAGGACCACAGCTCTGGGTAGGGTTCATCCCCATCCCCATCCTCACCCCATCCCCGGCCTTGTCCCCATCCCCACGTGGCCCCATGGCACCACTCCCCCATGGGCACTGCCGCCCCGGCACCGGGGTCTTGCAGCCCGGCCGCCCCGGCCATCACAGCTCGGGCCTCACGGCCCCCAGTTGGCGCTGGAGTGGCCACACGGTGGGCAAGCAGAGCAGGGCCCAGCTGGGGCAGCCGGGAACTTGTGAAGTAAACAGAGGAAAATTACTGCGTGCCCGGCACGCCGCTGCTGCCAGGAGCCAAGCACCACACAGCCGGGGCCCATGCCATGGGCAGGCCCTCCCCACCGCGCGCCAGGCCCCTGCCCTCACCGTGCCCAGGGCTGGCTCCCGGCAGGCTCAGGCAGGGCTGGGGCCAGGGCCATGGGGGCGATGCTCGGCTGGGGGGGGTCTGTGGGCTGCGTGGGGCTGAGGATGGCTGCTGGGGCACGGCACCGAGCGTCGCCTCCTCGGCACGCCCCACGTGCTGGGTGTGTGTGGGTCCTGCAGCGTGCCCGGGGCTCGCGGGGCCGTGGAGGTGTCTGAAGCCGGCTGCCTGTCCCAGTGCCCCCCGTCAGCAGGGTGCACCCCCGGCGTGGGGCCATGACTGCGGCTAATCCCCGCACAAAGCGGTTGTGGTTCCTAAAGCCGCGGCATCCGGGCTTAGCGCTCATGTGCGAGGCACAAGCCTCTTAGGGTGCCGGCCCCCCGCGCTGCTCCATGCGCTGGCTGCCTCTGGTCCGATCTGCGGGGCCGTGCGGGCGCCACTCCCGGACCCTGGGTGTGGAACCCCCCGCGGCCCCATGCCCCACGGCCCCGTGCCCCGCAGTGCTCGTGGTGCTCAGCGCCGGCAGCGGCCACCGCAGGCTTGTGCCGTCTCCCAGGAGAGCGCGGGTGCCCAGGGGGCAGATCCAAATGATTTAATTAAGGGCTCCTGGCGGTGTGAGGACAGAGCTGATTAGCAGCCAGAGGAGAACATGTGCTGCTGAGGGGGGGCTGCAGCCCACAGCCCCCTCAGCTCTGCCTCGCTCACCTGCGTGGGGCTGGAGGGCAGGCGGCGTGGCAGCTCCTGGTGCTGCGATGGGCCCCATCCCGCTCTCAGGGCTGTGCCCAGCACCTGGGGGTGCTCAGGGGCATGCTCTGGGGCCGCAGTGTCCCTGGTCCCCCCAACCCCGTTCCCCACAGAGAGGCTCACTCAGAGCTGGCCCTGCAGCCCGGCACGGGCCCACACCTATTTACACAATTACGACAGATAAATTACACCATTGCGCAAAGGGTCTCGCAGGCGCACAAGAGCAGCACCACAGGATGAACCCCCCCCACCCCCCCCACCCCCCCAGATCCCCCAGCCCCACAGGTCTCCCCTCAGCCCCTGGCCCCCTCCCACAGAGGTCCAGGCCCCGCTTGCCTGCCCCAGGCGCTTCCACTGTCCCACACGACCCCAGCCTGTCGCAGCGTCCTCGCCGGGCAGGCAGGGCCCCGTGCAGCACCGGGGGGCGGCCGGACGGGGGGGCAGGCAGTGGCCGCCGCAGCGGGCTCAGTCTGCCGCAGAAGGGCCAGTGCAGCCCTCCCGGTCCATCCACAGGCTCAGAAGTGGCTCTCGGCCGTGGTCTCGGGGAACTCATAGCAGTGGTGCCGGTCCCCCAGGGCGAGGTGCTCGGCGGTGCCGTGGCCGCTCCTCTCGAGGTAGTGGGTGGGGGGCCGCGAGGCGGCCGGGCTGCGCCCCAGCCCGTTGGCACAGCCGCTCACCAGCTGGTGCTTCTCGCAGGCGCTGCCGGTGCCGTTGCGGGCGCTGGGCGCGTGGCTGTAGGTGTGCTTGTACTCCTCCGCCAGGTCCTTCCCCAGCTTCCAGCGCTGCCACCTCTTCAGCAGCTCCGACTGCACCTGGGGGCGGCCGCCATCAGCCTGGTCCTGTGCCCGCGGCCCCCCAGGCCCCCAGCTGCCTGCTCCCCGCCCAGCTGCTCACCTCCTTGTTGACGAAGCAGTAGAGAATGGCCACCAGCATCCCCTGGGCGGAGGCAGGAGAGGTGTGAGAGGTGCGCAGGTGATCCCCAGCCCTGGCCCTGGTCCGGTCCCTCCCAGCAGGGAGGGTCCCCGTGGCCGGTCCCGGCTGAGCTGGGCTCACCTGGAAGGAGCTCAGGAAGAGGTCGAAGAAGAGCTTGACGTAGCGCAGGGTGCCCTGGGCGTGCTCGTCCGTGACAAAGGCGAAGACAACCTCATGGATGCCCAACAGGGGGATCAGCGTCAGCGTGGACTTGGCCAGCCTGCTTGGAGGGGCCAGCGTCAGCGCCGGGGCCAGGGGCTGTGCGCACAAACACACACACACACAAACACACACACACACACACACGCGCGCGCGCGCACACACACGCACACGCACACACACACACTCACACACGCACACATATTCACACGCACACACCCCAAACCAGCACGTGCACTGTGCACAGACAGTGCGGGGCCGGGGCTGCACCCAGCGCCCACCTGAACTTGTAGTCCGTGTAGCGCATCTGGTGCGCACGGAGCTTGGAGATGAGGATCTGGATGATGCGGATGAAGATGAAGAAGTTGATCTGCAGCAGAGCAGAGTGAGCCCGTGAGGGGCCAGCAGGGTGGCGGCAGGGACAGGGCGGCCAGCATTGTCCCCTGCCCAGGGCTGAGCAGAGGCAGAGCTGCGGGCTGGGGACTCACCAGGATGGCCAGGAACACGGGGAAGCGGAGGATCCACCAGAAGCCCATGTTGTTGTTGGTGCTCCAGCACCTGTGGAGGAGGGGGACGGGGACTGCTGGGCAGCCCCTGGCCAGGGTGGCTGCTGGAGCCCAGCGTGGTGTCGGCAGACGCAGCCCAGCCAGCGCTGCAGCCCTGCTCCGTGCTCCCCGCACGTGGATGGCAGCGCAGAGCCTCCCCGGGGCTGTCCCCCCATGGCATGTCCCACGCACGCCTGCCCATGACCCACACCCCCACATGCCCCTTGTGGTGCCATGCACAGGCTGTACTCACTGGATGTTTTCGTAGAGGAACTTCACAACGACCCAGGGGATGAGAAATAGCATGGGTGCCCCTGGGGGGGAGGCAGGGAGGGGCAGGTGAGGCACGGCACGGGCTCGGGGGTGAGGACGGGGCACCAGCCCGCCGCAGCCTGCGCCTGCCTGCACTCACCCCAGCCGATGCACAGGTAGAGGGTGAAGTAGCTCCGCTCGGAGAAGACGGCCACCACCAGGAGGTTGTGCAGGTAGATGCCCTCCACCAGCAGCCAGCAGTAGTTGGCCACGGTGCCGTACTGCATGAAGACCGTGGCCGCCCGGCAGCCTGCGGCAGCCTGCGGGCAGGGGTCAGGGGCTGCCGGCCCCCCGTGCCCCCGCGGCCCCCCTGGCCCCCCACTCACCTCGTCGCTCAGCCAGATGCGCACGTTGTAGTCATCGATCTTGTCGCTGTAGTGCGTCTTCAGCAGGGCGTCGATGACCAGCACGGAGACGCCCTTCAGGATGAAGGAGGCGAAGAGGTTCATGTGGATGTAGTTCCTCATGCAGTGCAGCTTGCTGGGGAGGCAGCGGCTCGCTGTCAGTGCTCTGCCCCGCGCCGCCCCTGCCCGCCCCTGCCCGCGCCCCTACCTGAAGCCCAGCAGCACGGCCAGGGCGAGCAGCAGCGCGCACAGCGACACCGAGTAGCCCACCGTGTACATCACCTTGAAGCTGCCGTAGGTCTTGGCAAACTTTTCCTGGGAGAGAAGGCGCGGGTGAGGGTGGGGTGTAGGGATGTAGAGCACGGGGTGGGGGGGCTGCTCGGAGCCCCCTGCCAGCCCTGCCCACCTGCGCCTCCAGGTCCTCGGCGTCGATCTGGCACTGGGTGGCATCCCGCAGGGACTGCCCCTTGGGGCCCGTCACCCACTCCCCGTCCGGCCCGCAAGTCTTGAAGACGTACCTGTGCCTCACTGTGCAGAGAGGGGGGACACGGGGCTGCTGCGGGCCCCCAGCCGCGGCCGGGCTCCGCGCGCCGGCCCAGGGGAGGTGGCCGGAGCCGCGTGCACGGCACACGAGCACCACGCACAGAGCTGCGCACCCTGCCCCACGCGCCTGGCCCTGCCCCATGCCGTGCCCTCACCTTTCTGGTACCAGGGCAGGAACCAGGGGCAGGAGACGTTGATGGTGGTGTTGGGCAGCGCGTCGGGCCAGCAGGAGAACTTGTCAAAGGTTCGGTTACAGACCAGCTCTGCGGAGGGGTGGGACATGGTGGGACTTTCCAGGATGACCCACAGAGGCTCCCCGCTGTCCCCCTGTGCCCGCCCTCTTGGGGTCCCCATCCCGGCCGGGGCAGCACGTGGGGCACCCGCTCTCACCCGTGGGCGCAGGCATCCGGCTCATGTTGCGGTGACATTCCTCCTTGTAGGCCTTCCAGTTCTCAAAGAGGGAATCTGTGATCTGGGCGGAGGGGCCCTGGGGACAGCACAGAGGTCACCGGGGCTGGGCAGGGGCAGGCGGCCACTGGCCCCGGGGTTCAAGGATGGCTGTGGGCAGGCATGGGCTGAAGAGCTGTGCCGTGCCGTGCCGTGCCGTGCCATGTGGGTGGCAGGGCTGGGCAGTGGCTGCTGCAGCATGGCATGGTGAGGGGCTCCTTGGGGGGTTCCCATCCTTACCTGGCAGCAGAGCAGCAGCAGCAGGAGGGTGAGGAGTCGTGGCTGGGACATCCCTTCGCTGGGCCACAAGCTGCATAGGGAGCAGGGGGCCTGGCTTCCTACTGGCCCTCAGGAGCTCCTCTGCCCTGGGGGTGAGGGCCCTGGTGCCTGGGTGACCCTGAAGGAGAGGACGGGTCATGGGGACGCGTGGTGGGACCTGCCCCAGGGCACAACCCGGGGATGTGCTGCAGGGAGCAGCCCCCGCTCACACCGCCACACTCGTGGCCCCATCCTCTGTCAGCCCACCTGCCTCTGACTTTCACCTTCTTGTTTGTGCACTTTCCCAGCAGACTGCAGCCCTTGAGCACCTGCCATTTCCTACCCAGGATGTCTTTGTGACAGTGGCCAAGTCGCCTCTCTGCCTTCCTAGAGCACACCAAGCAGCCAGCGTGCCTCGGGCTGGCGTTTTCACCAGCCTTGAGCAAGAGGAGCACAGCCACACGCAGGACGTGCCATCCCCTCCCTCCTACACCCCTGCCATGGGGTGCATGTGTTCAGCCTCCCCATGGCCACAGCCAGGGGCACAGCCTCCCTGCCACACAGCACTCACAGACATGGGCCAGGCCCCCCTGTATTGGTGTTGGTGCTTGGCTTTGTGATGGTGCTGACCCCCGAGAGCCCAGGATCTCAAGAGGCAGCCAGGAACGCCCCTCACCTGAGCTGCCCCCTTCCCCTCTACCCCGTGGTGCTGTGGCTCTCAGCATCGCTGATTCTGGATCTACACCCAGGTTGGGTGCCTGTGGAGGTGCCCGGGCCCTTGGGACAGCCCTGGGGTGGCCACAGTGCCCAGAGCCAGCTCAGCCCATGGCTGGGGCACCCGGTCCCTCGCCCCATGGTCCCCCGGCCTCAGCACCCGCGGGGTTTTGAGGTGGCCGTGGAGGTGGCGGAGCCCGATCCGGCAGGGATGCTGCCAGCCCCGGGGTGGTTAACCATTAACCCGCAGGGATCCCCGGCTCACGGGGCTGCTCTGCTGCTGGCTCCGTTGCTCCCAGCCTGGGTGAGCAACGCGGAGCCTCATCTGACGCGGTGCCTGGGAGCTCACCCACAAAGCTCGGCGCACGAGGAGCCGTAATTCTCTCCATCCACCCTAAGCCGGTTACGGGGCTCCTGAGCGGGATTTCAGCCCCTCCGACAAGGGGCCGTTCTGTGGGCAGCCCCATGGCGTGGCCACGGGGCACGAGGGCAGCTGAGGTGGGGGCAGTGCCGCGGCCACTGCAGATGCTGCAGCACCACCGAGCCCCGGCCTCCCCCAGCAGCGGCAGGAGCGCTGTGCTCCTGTGCTCCCCGGCCCGCCGCCGCTCCCAGGGCTCGCCGCGCTGCTCGTGCCTATTTTTATCCCTGGGAAAGTCATGTTTCCTCCGTGCAGACCCACTTGCCATGTCGCAACGGCTGCCTGAGAAGCTCATTAATCAGCCCATGGCGCTCCAGATGCGGCGCGGGGAGCCGGACCTGCCGGCTCGCTGCCTTATTTAGGCAGCCCGGGACGGACGGCGCGGCCGCCGGGGACAGACGGACCCCGTGGCTGGGCTCTGGCAGCGGGGACCTGCCCCGGTGGGTGCCCACCAGCCACCTGCCTGCCCCAGCATCCCCGTCCCACAGCATCCCCACCTGCCCCCCTGTGCTGCCACCCGCGGCGTGGCCCCGCGGGGACCTGCAGGTGCCCGGCCCTGCCCCGAGCATCCCCACACCGGGAGCAGCGACGTGCAGGCAGTGCGGCCCCTCTCCGGGCTGGGCAGGCAGCTCTGGGGCAGAGGTGCCTCTATTTTTAGCGGCCTGCAGTGGGATTTGGTGGTGGGGAGGCCTCTGCCCTAGACTCCCCTCCCTGGCTGGCAGCCGGTCCCCAGGCCCCGGGGCCCTGCTGCGGCCAAGCTGGGCAGACTGCACTGGGTGAGGGGTTCTGGCGCACGGGGCCGGTCACGCTCCTCCGGCACGGGGCCCCCGCCGCACCCTGGCCCTGCAGCGGGCCCTGCCCAAGTCCTTTGCCCCAGCTGCCCGTGGAGCTGCGCTGACCCCGCTCCCCTCTGGGCTGCGGGGCGGGGGGACCCCACCGCTCGGTCACCCCACGCTGAGGTTTCTAGCAGGTGTACAGGCGTGCCAGAGGAACCAAGGGCTGGGTGTCCTGGCTCTGCAGGGTTAGGGAGCGATTCAGGAGGGGTGACAGCCCCACGGGGCCCCTGACAATGTGTTCCCCAGCCCCACCACCTGATGTCCCACCTGCCAGGCCCTGTGGGTGCCCGTTGTGCCGAGCCGTGGGCACCCAGCAGCTGCTGTTCAGGTGGGAGCATCAGCCGGGGGCTGCAGCCTCCGGAACAGGCTGTGCAGGGGACTTTTGCCCCATGTTGGCGTTGGGCAATGCAGCGTGTCCCTGTGTCACGGCCCTGCGGCTGCTGACCCCCGCAGAGGCCGGGCTGCAAACACCGAGCGCAGCAGCAGGGAGGTTTTGTGCCTACAACTGGAGAGGAGGGAAGAGGGATCCGGCTCCGGAGGAAGCTGCACACCTGGGGATTTGGTGCCCCAGCCTGAGGGTGTGCAGCCCCTGCCGCTGGCCTGACGCCACCCTGCCCACCCCCTCGCCCCCCTGGGGCTGCCATCACATGGACAAGGCCACGAGCCCCACATCTGGGATCGCTGCGGCTCGTTGCTACATGGATCAATGGCTTGGTGAAGCCTCCATGGGGACACTCATGGGCATCTGCAACGTGACCTGGCAGCGCTCTGGCACAGCCGCAGCCCCACACAAGCGCCGGGGAGGTTGGCGCAGCCACCTGAAGCCCGGTCCCTCTACACGGCTCTCACCCCCCTGATCCCAGGGGCTGGGGTGGGAGCGCGGCTTTCCGAGAGCTCAGGAGGCGGCGGTGGGGGCTGCTGCCCTCCAGGCGCAGGGATTAGCCCCCAGTGCGCTAATGCAGCGCTTTCCACGGCTGGCTTGGCTTTGAGCTCCAAGCTACAAGCCGGCACAGCAGGGGCTTCGGCACTTGGCAGGGGAGGGGACGGTGGAAGGCCAGGGCTGATGCAACGCCAGCGTGAGCCTGGTCCTGCCGACTGCTCCTCTTTTTTCCCAGGGCCGCAGTGAGCAGGACGAGTGGTGCCCGGGGATGGCTGCGGTGGGGAGGTGTGGGGTCAGGGGGGGCTGTCCCGCACCCGGTGCTGCCCCTGTCTGTGCCCCGGCCCCGAGCTCTGGGACGCCTCCTGCTCCCCACCTGCGACCCACAACTGCCCCAGCCGCCACCTCCCCTCTGAACCAGCACACAGAAGTTCTGTGGCAGAGGAACTGCTGAGCTGCCCGGAGCACCTCGCAGGCTGCAAGACCACGGCTCGTTTGCACAGAGCTGCGTGGCTCTGAAACACGGAGCGGCGGCATGGAGAGAGCCGACGTCACGAGGCACCAACAGCGTTGGGGTCTGTGTCACTTTGGACCAAGAAAACCTAAACCAGCCCTGACAGCATTTTCGTCAACAGAAACACGGGATGCAAGCAAATGTTTTTAGCCCCTGTGCCTTTAGGACGAACGCCGTTTGCATCACCTCCAGCACTGCCCTGGCACTGAAGGAGAAGGGGAAGGGCATCTCCCAGCACAGGAGAGGAGTGGTCTGCAGGTGCAGCCAAGAAGGGGGCAGATAAACCCGCTGCCCGGGGCTCTGGGAGAGGGGCTTTAGCTCCGGGGAACGGGTTTGTCTCGTTCATCACACTGCGTGAGTGGGGATGTGAAAAACCCAGCACAGGAGGACAGCGCGAGAGACGCAGCGGGTGACACGTGTGGTTACCGTGTCGCAGGGGAAGCGCAGGGCTGGGAAAAGCCTAGCAAAAGGTCAGTGCAGGCAGGCGTGTGTGCGTGTGCCTGCACTGGGAGCTCGGCACCTGCCTCCCCAGCCCAGCTCATGGCACGGATGAGCGCCGCGGCCGTCCCTGTGCTGGGGTCTGGGTGTCTCGGTGGTGAGTGACACAAGGTGCCTGCAGCAGCCCCGTCCCAGGAGGGTTCCCCCCATCCCGAGGCAGCATCACGGTGGTGGTGCAGGGCTGCAGGCAGCGCTCCTGGCCAAGCTCCCCAGGCTCCCTGGACCAGGACAGACAGACCCCGGCACGCGGGCCCCTGGAAGGCACTGGGGCCCTGCCTGTGGGGGACACAGGGCCGGGCAGGATACGCTGGAGGAGCACAGGGGGACACGAGCAGTCCCACCCCTCCTGCTGCTGGCTTCCCAGCCCCTGCCTCTGCCTGTGCCTGGCACAGAGAGGTGCACAGAGCAGAGCTGTGCTCCGCAGCTGGTCTCAACGCTGCACTGCTGCTCAGGGCTTGCGGTCACATTTTTTCATTAACTATTTTTAATCCGTATTTTGCCTCTTCTCCGCTCAGCCTTTTTTCTCTTCCCCTCTCCAGGCAACAGAACAAAAAAATCTGCATCACAGTGTGTGGAAAGGAGTGAGGATTGGTGGGAAGGACAGGAGCTCGCAGCTGGGGCGGCACTAACACGACGAGGAGGGGTACTGCAGGCCCTGAATTCTCCCGCGGATGCACAGATAAAGCCGAGGAAATCACAGGGGCAACAGCTGAACTCGTCATGGGTCAGGACACCCACAATGCGTGCAGCTGAGTGCTGTGTGGGGTAAGGCAGACACATTACAGGGTGTGCAGCAAGGCGCTGGGAGGACACAGGGCTCGGCCAGTGCTGGCTGGGCAGCCGCAGCCGCCCGTCCTCTGCCCTCTGTGCCTGAGCCAGCCCGGCACCGGCATGCCCTGCTCCCCCGTCACCCCAGGGAGCAGGTGGGCTGGGAAGCTCAGCGCCGGGCAGAGGTGAGCCCTGCTGCTGCTTTGGAGATGCGCATGCAACCACAAGGCCGGCAAGGTCACATACCCGACATGTCCTGGTTAAACAAAGCCATTTACCAACGCCGTGTTGACACAGCAGAGCTCGGGACAGAGTCACAAAGGGCACTCGCAGCGGGCCCCTGCGGCACCCGGGGAGCCTGGGGAGCGCTGCGAGGGGGGCGAAGGGTCCCCGGCTTCGGTGCCACCAAGAAAGCCGCTCTCTGCCGTGCCCTCCGCGGGGAGAAGAGCGGGCACCGCGCTGCCCAGGGCTGCCCGGGGAGATGCTCCCGCTGCGCCCGAGCCCGGCTGGTGCCGCTTTCCCGGGGAGCACGGAGGCCGCGCCAGCGCCGGGTGCCCGGCGGCTGAGCCCTACCCAGGGGGCTGGAGGCTCCGGAGCGGGCCCGGCCCGCGGGACGCCCCCGGGACCGGACACCCCTCGCCCAGGGGCTCAGCCCCGCCGGCACCGGGCGGCTCGGGGAGCTGCGGCTGCGGAGCGCCGGGGCTCGAGCAGCGGCCCCGGAGCCGAGCGGTCCCGGGCCGGGTCCAGAGCCACGCGTCGGGGCGCGCCGTGTCCGCCGGTGCCGTCCGGGAGCCCCGAGACCGCGGGGATGGGCGCTCGCCTCCCTCCCTCCGCTCCCCCCCCCCCCCCCCGTACCTGTCGGGGCTGCTCTGGCGGCGGATCCCGTGCGCATCTCGGTGCTGGCGGGGGCCGGGACCGGGACCGGGACCGGTGCGCTCGGCCGCTCCGGCGAAAACTTTTGCCGGAGCCGCGACGACGGCGGCGGTGGCGGCTCGGGGGGGAGGGACCGGCGCGGGGGGAGGGACCGCGGGCGAGGAGCCGCTTCCCACCGCCCCGCTCCTCCCGCTGGCACGGGGAGGGGATCGGGGGGGCGGCCCCGTGCCCCCGGACCGGGTGCTCGGCTCTGCCGCGAGGCTCCTCCAGCACCGGTGAGAGCGCCCGAGAGCTGCGAGCACCCGCGCCTGCCGCTGCCGTCGGTCTCCGGTGTCGGCTCCTCCGCTCCGCTCCGCCCCGGTGCCGACCACCCCGGGACCTGCCGGTGGAGCGGCGGGGCCGGGCGGGGGCAGCTGGGCGCGCACCGCCCCGGTGGGGGGGAGGGATGGGGCCGCCCGTGCCTCCGCCGGTACAGCTCCCGCCGGGGGGTGCCCCGCGGATGCTTCCCCGGCCCCAGCCGCGGTGGCCGGGCCCGCCGGTCCCCCCGGCTCCCCCGCGGTCCCAGCGGGTCCCTCGGCACCGCCCGGTGTCCCCGTCCCAGCTCTGGCAGGAGGCGAGGCCCCGCCGCCTCCCGGCTCCGGTGCCCGCTGCCGGCCGCTCCTGCCCGCGGGAGCGGGGCTGCTCCCCTCGGGGCCCGGCCGAGCCTCCGCCGGGCGGCCGGGAGCTGCCGCCACCCTCTCGTTCCGGCCGCCGCTGGCGGTGACGGGTCCGTGTTTGCCTCGCGCCGTCCTGCTGGAGCCCGGTCCGGTAACCACGGCCCGCAGCGCGGCCCCCCCGCAGCACCGGGGCCGGGGCCGGAGCCTGGCCGGGGCTCACCGCGCGTTTGCCTTCGGCTGCCCGCTGCGACCCCGCGCGGGGTCCCGGGGCCGCCTCGAGCCCCCCAGGCCCGGGGGGGGCTGTGCGGGGAGAGGACCGGGGCGGGCGGGGGGCACCGGGCGCCCCTCCGGGGGCCGAGCCCGGGGCAGGGGCCGGGCCGGGAGCGGCGGCAGGAGCGCAGAGTGCCGGCAGCCCCCGGCAGCCCCCGGCCCCCTCCCGCTTCGTGGTGCGCGGAGCGGGGCCGAGCACCGACGGGAGGCGGCCCCGGACTCCGCGACGGAGGCTCCGTGCCTCCGGCGGCGGGAGGGCACCGGGGGGGTTCCGCAGCTCGGGGCATGGCCCCGCGGGGCAAAGCCCCCCTCCCGCCCGGCCTCTTGGAAGCGGTGCCGGGAGGAGCGGGGGCCCGGCTCGCCCCTCGCCCACCTGCCCGCGGCTCTCGCACGGAGCCAGGCACGGGAACAAAGCGGCGGCGCCAGCCGCATCGTTAGGCTTCGTTAAGGTGACGAGCTTTCACTTCGCCGCCGTCCCGGGCTGGCTCCGGGCCGGCTCCGCGCCGCCCGCTGAGCCCAATTAGCGGCAGCCGGGGCTGCGAGCAGGCAGAGGCAGGAGCAGGGGCAGAGGCAGGGACAGAGGCTGGCTCAGCCCGGGAGCCCCCCCCTCCCAGCACGGCCGGGCTCAGCCCGCGGCCCCCCCTGTGCGGGGCTGGGGGCACGGAGCCGGTGAGACCCCGCTCGGTGCAGCGGGGACACGAGCGCTGCGCTCCCACCGCCCCCAGCCCCCCTGCTGCAGGAGGGGGCACACCTCCCCCCCCCCCCCCAAGCAGGATGCCGGTCACCGTGTTTGTTCCGCTGTTTATTTGTCATACATTAAGGTCACAGATATTCCAGTTCTTTGATCCCTCAGAGCCGCCCTGCACAGGGCTGTACACAGCAGGGGGCTGGGGCCCGCAGCCCCCCGAGCAGGGTCGAGGTGGCCACCAGGCAGGGAGGGTGCAGGGGAGGTGTGCGGGGCTGGGTCTGCCCCGGTGCAGTGAGGGACAGGGGGGGTGGCGAGGCTGCGGGGGCGCTGGACGGATGCCGGGTGCTGTCCCGAGGCCGGGGGATCCACGGGCACGCAGCGCCTGGCGCTGGCAGCGGGGTGGTCACCGGCAGCGCCCCAGCAGGGCAGCACGGCCGAGCGGCTGCCCCGCACCCCCCACACCCCCGCTGTCATCATTGGTATAAGGCACAATCCCTGAAGAGCCCAGCGGCCGTCGGGCGCTGGTGAATTTTGGCTGAGCGGACACGGGGTGGGGGGAGGCCGGGGAGCCGAGCAGCAGAGAGAGGAGGCAGAGGCCGGCCTGTGTGAGGGGAGCAGGTGGGGGGCAGAGGCACCAAAGAGGGGACGGTGCCTTGGGCTGAACCTGCGTTCCCCCCCTTGCTGCTTGCAGGAGAGGCAGGGAGCAAAGAGCCCTGGCCCTGCACAGGCCCTGGCTGCGGCGCTGTCACAAGCATTAGGGCCCCCCCAGCCCCTGCCCCTTGAGGCTGCGACCAGGCAGAGGCAGGGGGCTGTTCCCCATCCGCCCCGGGACGAGGCCGTGGGGACAGAGCCGAGGGCCCCTTGCTGAGCCCGCCTCTCCAGCCAGCGCCGGGGGGAGGCAGGGACAGACCTGGAGGCCAGCGGGGCAGGGGAGGATGAAGAAGAAGAAGAAAAAGAGCAGAGTGCAGAGGGGAGGGGGCCTAAGGACAGCCCAGAGGTAACGGAGGTGCTGAGAATGGAGGGGGAGTGAGGGAAGGGCAGCCTGGGACCGGCTGGCCACAGGCCCTGGCAAGGCACGGGAGTGGGGATGAGGGGAGGGGGAACAGCCCTGGCCCCGGACAGGGGGAAGGGTTCTGGGATCCCGGTGGTGACCTGCACGCTCACCCCCAGGGCAAGGCAGGGTCCAGCCCTCCCTCAGGTGACCACTTTGATCCCAAAGTATTTGCGCAGCTGCTCCAGGAAGACAAAGGTGAGGACGGTGTGAGGAATGAGCCGAATGGCAGCAGGAACGAAGCCCTGGAACGGGACAGTGAGAGAAGAGTCAGCACGTGCCTGGCCTCCGGCTTCCCCGTCGGGGCCAAGGGTGCCCAGCAGCCCAGCCCACGGGCAGCAGCACGAACTTGCAAGCACGGGGGAGGCTGGCTGGGCATGCAGCACGAGCCCCAAGCAGCCGGGGCCTGGGTGGCAGGCAAGAGGCTGCCGGAGCAGCAGGGGAGGCACCGCAGCCATCGCTGTGCACGCAGGTGTCAGCAGCATGCATGAGCCCCTCTGCCCCCAAACACATCAGTGCTGGCATCACCACTACGTAGGCAGAATCTCGGTAGAAGCCAGGGTCAGATCCCACAGCCCCCGGATCAGAAGGGGAATGGACGCTGCCTGGGGAAGATGAGCAGACAGGCTGTAACGGGGGGCGCCTGACTGGCCACAGCTGGAAGAAACCTCGGGTCTGAAACCCCACTTCAGGGGCCCTCCCAGGAGCGAGATGTGACACGGGTGACTGCACCCAGCCCTGCACCTCGGGCCCGAGAACCGACCAGCGTCTGCAATGGTCAGCAAGTGCCGGAGCATTGCTGCCAGGACCCGCACTCCTGTCTGGGACCCGAACAACAGCAGAGCTGCTGCAGAACCCGGACCCAGGCAGCGAACCCAAAGGAGGCCACGGCTCACAGCGCTCCGGGGCCAGGACAGGGCCTGGCGCATGAAGCAGTTGGGCTGCAGGCGGCAGAGCCCTGGAAAGCTCTGGCTCCACAACCACTGAGCGCCACCTCCGCTCCCAGCCTCCCCACAGGCCGACCCACGCGCCCCGGGGAGGTACCTTGTAGAAGGCGAGGGGCCCGAGCTTGGCAGTCTCCATGGCACAGTGGGTGACACCCTGCAGAGACAGGGGGGGTGACGAGGTGCCCGGCAGCAGAGGCTGCTGCGCCGAGGGGCCGGGCAGGCCGCACACTCACCCGGTACTCGCCCTGGGAGTTCATGAGGCGCGTCTTGAGCACGTCCAGGGGCTGGCACAGGAATGTGGCGCATCCGCCCTGCGGAGAGGTGGGTGGGGGGTCACCAGCTCCAGCTGGCAGAGCAGACCCAGGCCGCTGGCTGCTGGCATGGCCCGTGTCACCGGGGAGAGGGCCAGGCCCGCAGCCTAGCCTGGGTCTGAGTCCATGCTGGGAGCTGCACAGGAGCCTCAGCACCAAGCCCAAATTCACCAGAGTCCTGACACGCAGCTCTGGCAGCCGTGCCCGGGGTCCTGAGCCCAGCTGCGGGCAAACCCAGTCCCAGCCCTGCCTCCCCCACACCCAGCCCTGCTCACAGCAATGAAGCTGGCCAGAAAGTGAGTGAAGATGTTGTCTGACAGCAACCCAGTCGTGAGAACCAGCTGCTTGGCTTGGTCATAACAGGAAAGCTGCAAAGACACAGCGTGTTAGTGACACAGCCCCTCCTTGCTGTGCCAGGGTCTGTCCTGTCCCTCCCCAGGCACTGCTGCCCAGCAGAACCGTCCTACCTGCCCAACAGTGACCAGGGCCCCTCGACTGGATGCCATCGTAGCTCCTGAGAACAGTTTCTTCAAGCCCTCTGTGGACAGGCAGCGATCAGCACGGTCCTGGCACATTACTCACGCTCCCTTCCCCCAGGGAGCCTCCTTCCCCGCTGATCTGTCCCCTAAACCCCTCACGCGTTAAGTGCCGTTGTGTGTTGCAACAGCGAATACCCCGGACCCCCAAGCGAGGAGCCTCCTCCAGCACAGCGCCTTCTCCCCCTGCCATTCACCCCCCCGACCTGCTCCAGCTCCGTGCTTTGTCCCAGCAGCTCCCTGCAGGCAGCCACCTCCTCCCTGCCCGCACCAGATGTCGGGGGGATGCTGGCCCTGCACAGCCTCGGCTCGCCGGCCCCGCTGCCACCCTCTGGCCCTTTCCCTCCCCACACTGAGTGAGCGCCCACAGAGCCATGTGCCCGTGGCCGCTCCTGCTGATGGAGGAGGCCCCGGGCAGGCTCCCCCCCGGCTGGCACAGCCTCACCTTCCCGGAGGACGCGGTACATGCCATCCAGGGCATGGGAATAGCTGCAAGGGGTGAGAGGGGAAGGTGTCAGGGTTGGGGACTCCCAAAGCTCCCCCCAACCCGCTGGCTCCCACAGCTCCCGACCGCTGCTGGTGCAGCGCTGCCTCCCCGCGGCCCCCCCACATCCCCCGGACCCCAGGGCCCGCACCCCACTCACTTTCGCCGCAGGTGGGCCGGCTGCTTGACGTCGTTCTGCATCCTGCAAGGCAGAGCATGGGGGGCTGCGGGGGGGGGATACCGGGCAGGGGGGCAGGCCCCAGCTCAGGGCTGTGGGGGGAGGCCCAGCAGAGGTCCCACAGTGTCTCTGTCCCAAGGGACGAGAAACCTGCCCCAGGCCTGCGCCTCGGGGGCCCTGCTGAAGGGCAGGAGCCGCGTTCGGCCTGCCAGACACACAGATCCCCACCAGGACCGGGCCAGGGACCACGGGGGGGCTGGGGCAGGAGAGAAGCCAGGCACACGGGCAGCAGCCCAGTGCCCCAGCTGCAAGCCGGCAGCAAACGGCCCTCCCCAGCAGTGCCAGAGGTGCCAGCAGCACTGACCTGACGTTCACCATGTCCGCCGGGGTCCCCACAAAGCCGCCGGTGAAACCTGCGGCCAGAGGAGAGCTGGGGTCGGGGCTCCTCCGGCCAGAGGGAGCCAGGGCCGAGGGTCCCTCTTCCTCGCTCACCTCCCACTGCACCCAGGAGCACTTTTTGGTAGAAGGGGGGAGGCCCCTGGCTGCCCTGGCCCAAGCGGTCCCTCGCAGTCTCATAGATGGCGAAACGGGTCAAGGAGTACGTCATCTGCAGGAGAGAACGAGCTGCCGCGTCCTGCTGGCTGCCTGCCTGCCCCGGCACCACTGGGGCGCTGGTGAGGCTGGGAGGGCAGCGCCGTGCTGTGCCAGCCCCGGGGCACTCACCTGGCGGCACAGCGAGGCGCTGAGCCCGTTGTACAGAGCCAGGAAGCCGTCGGTGCGGACCACGCGCATCGCCATCCCCATCATGCGCATCTTCACCTCCTGCTGCGTCTGCAGGTGGACCTGGGGGAGAGCCTGGCAGGGTCAGCACCAGCCCCGCGCTGCCACAGCCCGGCCCCATGGGCTGGGCAGAAAGGGGTGGGAGCCCCCCTGGGCCGCGTGGTGCTGCAGGCAGGGCAGCCCGTGGGGCAGCTCTCGGTGCTGGCTGGGGGAACTCCTCAGCACCCATGAGGAGCTTCCCTACAAACAGCACCAGCTCCAGGCTCCGCACGCCCACGCGGTGCTTGGAACCTTTCCTGGCCCAGCCCAGAAGCGCGGGGATGGGGACGCCGGAGAAGGCGGAGTGTGAGGCACCTGCCGGTCCCTGCCTCCCACATGGCCGCCAGCTTGGGTGGCCTCAAGAACGTGTCCTAAGACAAAGTCGTGGTGCCCAGCCGTCCAAGAAAAGCCCTGGACTGCACCAGCGAGGGGGAGGACCCAGGAGCACGTGAGCAAGCAAGCAACCGGCACAGGTTTGGTCGGAGGGAACCAGACAGGACCGCTGAATCCGTGACCTCCTGCTGCCCTCCACGCTCGCCACGCAGGCCTCCAGAAATAGCTTCCTCCTCCTGCCGGCCCCAGGAGCGGCACAGGCAGAAGACGGCCCCGCGGTGCTGCTCTGGGTCTGGGCTGCTCCCTGCCACCGCCGGCTGCAGCCCGGGCGCCCCGGCGCTTCCCAGCAGCGGGGGGGGGAGCGGGGCTGCCCCGGGGCCGGCTGCAGCAGAGCCCTCGTGCGCAGGAGCTGCGCCAGCCTCTGCCGGAGCACGTCCTGAGCGCACCCCCAGCTCCGTGCTGCACACACCGCACGTGGGTCAGAGGCCCCAGGAGACCAAACGAAAGCAAACACAGGGCCCCCGGCGGGGACCGGGCCTGGCTCCCGTTACAGACACCCCGCTGCCACCGGGGCGTGGGACACACAGCGGGAGCGTGGCCTCCATCCCCTGCACGTGCAGGGAAGGGGCCCTGCACCCAGTCAGGGGTTTGGGATCTCAGGGACCAGAGCTGGCGGTGTCACAGCTGGGTGAGGGCTGCGGGCAGCCCAGGGCAGTGGGACCCGGTGGGAGCCCCAGGGTCAGCACCGCACGGGGCCAGCTCCGAGGACCCCAGAGGGGCGCGAGCGACCTCCGGCCGGGCTGGGTGGGGCCGCCGAGGGGCCAAGGTCCGCAGGCACGGAGCGGTGCCCTTGGACCCCTGCCTACCAGGCTCAGAGGTCTCCTCCACACCTGGCACCGGCCCCGCGGCCGGAGTCCTGGTCCAAAGGCGGCCCCGCGCCCAGCGCCCAGCTGCGAACGCCCCGGGGCAGCCGGTGCCGGCCCGGGCTGCTCCCGGCATCGGCCACGGGGGAGCCCCGGGGGAAGCACCAGGGGGACCCGGCCCCAGCCCCTCCAGGCGCCCCGGAGCCAGGCCTGCGGGGGCACCGGGGGACTGGGTGGGGGCTGCCCGCCCCGACCCCGCGCAGCCCCAGCACAGGTCCGGGTCCGGGTCCCGGCTGCGCCCGGCACCGGGGGGACGCCGCAGCCGGCGGTCGCGCAGCCCGGCGGGCCCCGGGGCAGCCCAACCCCACCGGGCCCGCCCGCACCCCGGCCCCGCGCCCCCCTGCAGCGCCCCCGGTCCCAGGGGACCCCGCAGCCGCATCCCCCGGCGGCCGTTCCGGGTCCCCGCGGCAGCCGTTCCCGGGGGGCAGCCGTTCCGCGGCCCCCGGCGGCCGTTCCCGAGCCCTCCCGGTAGCCCCCCCCGCACCCCCCGCCCCGTGCCCACCTTGAGCAGGTCCAGCGGGTGGGTGCAGCAGGCGGCGCCGCAGGACGCCAGCCCCCCGAAGTACCAGCGGGACACCCGCCGCTCCGCCATCGGCGCCGCTCTGCGCGCCCCGCCCCGCGCCCGCCCACACCGGCGCCGCCGCCGCCCGCGCCAGGCCCCGCGCGGAGCTGGGGGGGGGCGGGGGCAGGGCCCGGCTGCGGCCGTGCGGTGCCCGCCGGGGGGGCGCTCACCGGGGCCGGGCGCTCACCCGCTCGCGATTAACCGGGGCTCGGCGCCGCTCCCACGCGGCTGCAGGCGCCGGGCCCGCAGCGCGGGGGGCGGAGATGGGCGAGGGGCGGGCAGGCTGCAGCGAGGGGCAGCGCGGAGCAGCCACCGCGGCGTGCTGAGGGGGGAGCAGTGCACCCCGGCAGCCCCTCTGCAGCAGCCCCTCTGCAGCAGCCCCGCTACCACCCGCAGAGCCCAGGGGCAGGCTGGTGTCCCACAGATGACTGCTTCCACAGGCTTTTTCCCACTGGATATTTATGACTGTAAAGTTCGTGGTGCTGCTGGAACATGGCAGCGGCCCCGCCAAACCGTACCCCATCCTTGCACTGAACCCCGCTGCGCGAGCATTCCCCCCACGCAGCCGGGGGACGTCTCGCCCAGAAACGCCCGGGACCCCGGCTCGGTCAGTGAGCGGTGCCCGCTGGGCAGCGGCGATGCTGCTGGTAGGCCAGTCCCCCCGCAGTCAGACGGGGCCCTCTACTCCAGAACCACAGTCCCTCCTGCTGCCTCCAGCGCCGCTTTGATCTTCTCCGCTTCCTCCTTGGACGCGTTCGCCTTGATCTCCTGTGGTAGGGACTCCACCAGCTTCTTTGCCTGTGAGGGGGCAAAGTATGAGACTTGCAAACAAGCTTTCACTAACCAGATTAACAGATTTAGAGACATGAGCCTGACCTCTGCGTAAGCGGACCAGAGAAACTCGCCTAATGCTCTGGAACCCAGACCTCTACATGAACTACGCAGCACATCCTGCTGGAAGGCCACAGCCATGTAGGGCCTTTTTCTGCGTGCAGTTGCCCACAAAGTCCCGTGTCGGGTGCATGACGTGTGCTGTGTTCCCCCATGTTCAGCCTGGCCTGCGAAGGCGCCTGGGGCGCACACAGAGCTACCACGTCATGAGCTAACGCAGCCACTGACCCGGGCTTCTGCAGTGAGAATGTTTTGGTTTACATATTTCTGCCAGCGGGAAGGAGAGGCTCTCTCAAGTTTTGTACACAGCTGTGCTAGGGAAGTCAGAGAATCTGCTGTACTGCGTAGAGTCACGGTACGGACTGTGCTTGACAGCACAATTTGGTATTTTCAGGACTTATAGACAAAACTACCACGAAGTACCACAGGAATTAAGACAATCCGAAAAGTTCTGTAACTGATTTAAAGGGACTCCCTAGAATAGTGGGTTTTTTATTATTATTATTATTTATTTATTTTTATTTTTAAAATGCAGTGAAAAAAGGCAAGAGGGTGCGGGAGGAAAAACACCTGCTGCAGTCTGAGTGCCGCTGCTCTCACACCAAGCAGCAGCAACAAACCCTGGGGGGTTCCACAGTGAGGAGCCGCTGTCAGCTCCCCCCATGGCACTGCGGGAATGCACAACTGCAGTTCTGGAAACTAACGGAGTGACCACTGCTGACAGAAAGGAGCTTTCATTGGCTTAGTTCACGTTGGGTGCTCGTTGACAATGGCAGAAAACATTTTTTTGTTTGCAAGAGCTGCGAAGGCGCAGAGCTGCGCAGGCAAAGCTCTGCCGCGTGGGTGTGCCTGCACTCACAGGAGCCCAGGGCAGGATCTGGAAGAGAGCCTGCTCTGCCTTGCTGCAACAAGGACACGCAACACAATTGCAGTTATTCATGTAAGAACCTTGCTCCCTAACACTTCAACTTTTGTTCTAAAGCAGCCTCAGTCCAAGGAAAGCAGCTTTTCACAGCTCTAGGGAAGAACAGCAGGGCCCTAGATGGGCCCACGCAGTAACAGCCACTAGGCAGGGACAGGACATCTTCATCAGACATCTTCAACCCCAGTCTGAGCAGAAGAGAATTCCAGAGGCAAAGGAGTGAGCTGAGTGTGTGTTGGAGAGGCTTTGGACAAGCTTTCAGAGGTGCAAACAGGTGGGTCCAGCCCACTCTGACTACACGCCTGTCACACTGAGCGGTCATTTCTACAGGACTGACTGACTGGAGTCAATCAAAATCTCTCATCAGCACGCGACGTCCAAGGGCTTTACTGGCAATACCTTCTTCCAAATCATTAACAATCTCACAGCCCAAAGAAAAGATCATTTTAAAACACCTCAAACCTCACGTAAAAGCACCTCACCTGGATGACAACTCCTCACTTACAGTAACGATTTGTCAGCTACACTTTGCATACAACTCCCACAGGCAGAACTACCCTCAGCAGCAGTTCTTGTGTGTGTTTTCAATCAAAATATCACGTTGGGTGAATCGCACTTCACAGAGTTTACCAGCAATAACCTGCATCTAACCGTGTAGCTGCGTTAGAACTGTAACCAGACTGCTTTACAGGTCCCACGTGCTCTGACAGAGCATTAGTTCTGCAAATGGTTTTTAGTTATCTACTGGCTGTACCTGTTACAGGGCTTTGGCATTTTAAGATTTGCTTGGGACGGATAACAGATAAACAACTGTCAGACTAACCAAGCTGACAGTCAGCTAAGGGTCCCAGTGAGCCAATGAAACTACCACCACTACGACCCGAGTTCCTGCTATTGAATTATTTCTTTTACGATACAGCATTAAAAATATTTTGGAGGATGTTCTGCAAACGCTGATGTTCTGGGTTGCACATCAAAGTAGATTTTTACAATGCTTAGCAATCACTTCCTTGCAACTGGGTAAACAGAAAGTGCTGCCACCATCCCCAAGACACGGAAGCACGGTTCAGTACAGAACCGAAGCACGTTAGAGCTCTTTGTTCTGACTCTCCTTTCTCATCTCTCTTCTGCTAGGGGCTTGGCCCTTCACCACTCAGCAGAGCTGTGAAGGAACGGGCTCTTATAAGAGCACCGCACAGACAGGTGCAAGAGGTTCCTGCTCTGTCTCGCCCTCTTTGCTCTGAGGTGCGCACACAGCCCCCAGGCAGGCTGTTCCTCTGAGGACGGTGAAATCCAGGGTCCCTTTTGAGCAGGGAAGTGAGGCCAGGGCCTGCGATGTGCTCTGGAACCTGCCCGTGCATGGCAGCGGGCCCAGGGCTGCAGGGGCGGTGCGGGTGGGCAGCGCCCTCCTCACCTGCACGAGGTTCACTCCGGGCACGAAGTTCTTCACCTCCTTGATCAGCTTCACCTTGTCAGCGGCCTTCAGCTCCGTCAGCCGCACGGAGAACACCATCTTCTCCTTCTTGCGCGGGACCTCCTCCTCCTCCTCCTGGAAGCAGCCGCAGCTCGGTGAGGGCACCCGGCCCCGGGCCCGCCTAACACCGCCACCCCCACCCCACACCCGCCCCGGGACCCCAGGCCCCGGGCCGGGCCCGTACCTGCGGCGCTGCCGGGGGCGGCACGAGGGCGGCGGCCGCCCCCACGGGCATCACCCCCACGTCCGAGATCTTCAGCGTCTCCTGCGGGAAGAGCGGCGGCGTCACCGGCAGCGGGCACAGCGGCGCCGCGGGCCCGGCCGGGCCGAGCGGGGCCGGAACCGGGCCGGAACCGAGCAGGAACCGGTCCGATCCGAGCCACCCACCTTGAGCAGCGCGTTGAGGTCGGCCACCTCGAGCAGCGTGAGCCCCGCGATGTCCCTCACGAGCTGCTGCACCTTGGGCGAGTACCGCTTGGCGGCCGTGTCCAGCGGCGCCCCGGCCAGCGCCTCGGAGCGCCGCGCGCGGCCCGTGCCCAGCGGCCTGGCGGCGCCCCAGCACCAGGCGGGCGGCGGCAGGGGCCGGGGCCGGGGCCGGGGCAGGGGCAGCAGCGGCAGCGCCCGGCGGGCGGCGGGCAGCATGGCGGCCCAGAGGACACGGCGGCGCCCTCCCTCCCGCGCTCCCGGCGGCCCCCGCGCCGCGCCGGCCGCTCTAGGCCGCGCCGCCTCTCCTCGCTGGCGGGATGCGGGCGGCGCTCTACCCGCGCGGTCCTCCAGCTCTCGCTGGTTCCGGCCCGGTGCGCCCCCTCCCGGCGGTCCCCCCGGCGGCGCAGCGCAGCCCCGTTCGTTCCGCACACTTTATTGTCACCGTTGCGGCTCCGTCGCCTCCGGCTGGGACCGAGCGCGGGAACCGGGGGGCAGGAGGGGGGCGGGGGGGGAGGGAGGGGGGAGCCCGGCGCCGGGCAGCGCCGCTCGCCTGCCCCGGGGGAGGCCGGGCCCGGGGGGGGGCGGCGGGACCGGGGCCGCCCCCGGCCCGCACGGAGCCGGTGCGGGGGCAGGAGCGGGGCCGGGCGGGGGGGGGAGCAGCGCGGAGCGGTGCTGTCGGTAGTGCCGGTAGTGTCGTTGAGGGTCGGTAAGGGACGGGGCGGCCGCGCGGCGCCGTCAGTCGAAGGAGATGAGCTGCGCCTCGCCGCTGCCCGGGGGCTGCTGCTGCCCCGGGGCTGCCGCCGGCTGCGGCTGCTGCTGGGGAGCGGCTCCGGCGGGCGGCACCTGCGGAGAGGAGGCGGCGCCGTCAGGGCGGCCCCGAGCCCCCCCCCCCCGCCCCTTGGCCCTTGGCACTCACCTGCTGGTAGAGGGGCTGCTGCCCCGGCAGGTAGGGCTGCTGCGGGGGCAGGCTGCTCAGCGCCGCGTCCTGGCCCGGCAGCGCCGACATCAGGCCCTGAGGAAAGGGAGGGAAGGGGGGAGGTCGGGGCGGCTCCCGGCCTCGCAGCGGGGAGAAGGCCCGAAGCAGGCAGCCCCCCTAAGCCTTGCCCACCCCGAGCCTGCTGCTCCCTGCTCCAGGCCTGCCCCGTCCCTGCCCCCAGCAGCGCAGGCCCAGGGGTGCTCACCTGCATGCCGTAGGGCTGGTAGCCCATGGACACGGACTGGCTGCCCATGTAGCCCATCGCACCGGACTGCGGGGCCTGCGAGATGGCAGGGATGCTCTGTGACTGCGACGCTGCGTTCTGGGGAGGAAAGGCTGCTGGTGAGAGGTGGCCCAGGCAGCTTTGGCTCACCTCAAACCACCCAGGAGCTCCGGGACCAGTAGGG